TCTCCCCCTTTATGTATAGGTACATCAACAGCAGTCTTCCATTCTTGGGGAACGATTCCGGTTGATAAACTTTGGTTAATAATATAGGTTAGCGGTTCCACAATATGATTTTTGACTTTTTTTATGAGTCGGTTAGTAACTCCATCTAGTCCTGGGGCACTGTCATTCTTTAGATTCATAGTTATGTGTTCTATTTCTGTATTATCAGTTGGTTCGAAGAAGAATGAGTTTGGAGGAGATGGTGAAGTGTCGATATTTAGTGCCAAAGCTGATTGTGTTGTATTTAGATTGTTTAAATACAACACAATCAGCTTTGGCACTAAATAATTTATCAAAATTGTTACTCATGGTAAGGTTAGAAAATAAAACAAAAAGCTGATTGAGAAATAATTCTTCAAAAAACTCATTTTTAAATGAATTTAGGTGGCTAGTTTAATTATTTTTCAGAAATAACACTAAAGTCCGAAAAGAAATGATATTTTATTACAGTAATTGTAACGGCAATATTTGATGATTATCTTATTTTATATATAGCAACAAGTATTTGGGTTAAGGTGGAATTCCACCAAGTTTTATAATAAGCCATTAAGACTAGGGTCACCGGTGAGCTCCGAGGAATTGCAAACGATTTAACATTATTTCATACATGTATTATTACATCGTCATTAACAATGTAACCTTTGGTTAAACTGTTTAGTAAGTTGTGGTGCTTAGATACTTGACACGTGCTTAGAGAGTTTGTAACATATGGGTTTTTATGTATGTATAAGTAATGAATAATAATAATTTATTTCTCATCACAATGGTTTTCTTAACATTTAACCACAATAATGTGCCAATACATTGAACATTGTGAGAGACTGCTGCCTTTTGTAGGTTTGTAGTAATGCACAACCTGTAATACGGGTCACCAGGCCCCTCCCGCATGTACTTTGATCTACTGAGCCAAACGACGTTAGGATCCAATATTAGAAAACAGATGAAATCAAAGAATAAATACAAAAATTATTTAACTATAGTTAAAGTTTAGGAGAAACCAGAAGCTTTGAGAGTGCTTGCGTGGATAATGTGTGCAGTAGTAGTGTATGATAATGTGTGTGGCGTGAGAGTACTGTGCTAATTTATAAGACGTGTTAGTTTGGGTTATGCCGGCACGAGTGTGTGTGGATGCGAGAATTTACAAGGAAGGGGCACGAGCTGATAGAATTTGGTTATATTACCTCAGTGTGCCCTATTGGACCGGAAAACGACCAATAAGTAGGTGAAATCAACAGTTGTTCAGTTGCCTCATAGTCTAGGGTTTTCAGAAATAAACTTACTAAAACTTTACATTTCGTTGTGGGCACGGGGTATATATTTAATATTTTTGTTAAACTTATTATAGAGATATGGGCCGGCAAAACAAAAGTATGTGACGTAAGTCAGTAATGAGCATGGTTCTACAGCAGTTATGATACTACCATCTGACGAAGTGCATAAAATGACCAATAGGAAAGTGCGCCGGTCACTATCAAGAACACTCCGGACATCGGCGTGTCCTCTATAATCTAGTCAAATGGAGCGCAAGCGCCGGTCATCGGCAAATGACGTAGCACCATCGGTAATGGTGTTAGATGAGCAGCGACACTACAAAGTGCCACTCTGCCACTCATTTAGTGTCATTTAGAGTTATGTCATATTGTTCACAATAACGGTGTTCAGTGAACTGTGTAGCCATTTGGATTTCTATATAATTCCCTCTCGATTATCTAAATACAGTTTCAACTTGGCTATTCTACGCTCACGTGTTTCCCCGAAGGGGTTGGAAGAGGCGTTTTAGATGGCATAATTTGGAGTATTTTAAAAGTAAGGCAGTGTTAGGAAAAGGCCTTATAAGGGATTAAATTCTCCCTATGGGTTTTCCATGATAAATGTACGAAAATATATTTTTAGACGACTTTTGTTCTAAAGGAATATTATTTACTGTAAAGGGTTTATGAATCGGTGTATTTTTTAAAATCTAAATATATTGTCTGGCTGCCTCGGTAATGCAGCAGTAGTGTATGCGACTGCTGTACTGAGGTCTCAGGTTCGATTCCCTTGATCGAACCAAATGTTTGTGTGATCTGCAAATATTTGTTTCGGAGTTTGGGTGTTTTCTATGTATAATATGTGTGTATTTACAAAAAAAAAGTATATAATTATTCTATCAGTCACTCTAGCTTTCATCGTACAAGCTCTGCTTAGTTTGAAACTAGTTGGCGTTGGGTGTCAGATGTCCGAAAAAAAATATTATTATTATTGCAGCTAGATTATTTAATCATATCAACAGCCTTTAATAATCCACTGCTGGATATAACCCTCTCCTTAGAATGCTGTTTTGGTCTACTACACCACGCTGGCCAGAAGGGTTGGTTTACCTACTATCTGCAGTGTTGTAGTTCTGCCTAGTTTTCTCCCTTAGTCGACTCTTACGACACCCACGGGATGAATAGACCCCTATTCATCTGTATTCTTAATCCGTCACCACACAGACAGGATTTTGTAATAGTACTAGTTAATAAGTTCTAATGAAACCATTTTGATATGGTGTTCAGATCCTCCAGTGCCTGTGAAATGTACAGTGTATTATGTATATTATACTATACAGTGGCAGAACCATGCTTCTACGGGAGCCGAAACCCTGACTCTCTTGTTGCAGATGCCCATGAGTAACGGTAGTCACCTACCATGCACATGACCCGTCTGTAGGTTTTATGGTAGATAGTGTAGTATTTATACTTAATAAATACTTTTTATTTTAAATATTTCTATTGGTATTTTTGTTAAATTCTCCACAAAAGTGAAAATACTTAATAATAATAGCCTTTATTCAGATCAACTTAGCCTATTAATAATATTCTAAAACAAACTTAAAAACTTATTCTAGTATTTTTAACTTTTTTTTGTAGACCTGTTTGCCAATCAGCAAAGGCGTCCTCCAACATTTTCCATTCTGATCTTTCTTGAGCCCCTCTGTTCCACATCACTCCTGCCACTTCTCTGATATCATCGTCCTATCTTTTCAGCAGTCTACCTCTTTTCCTTTAACCTTCCCTGGGATACCATTTTGTCACTTTCTTACTCCACCACAAGAGTACATTATGAAAACAAACTAACTTGCACTTGTATTCTACTATTTAATTTAACTTGACCTGATCGGATTCGACTTATGACATTATCAAAGGTATTTTTCATTTATATTTGTTTTATTATATGTACCTACTTATTCGCTGACCCGCGTAACTTCGTCTACTCTCAAAATGAATAAACTGTGACCCTTTTTCGCAACATTTTTTATTGACTGGACCGAATTGTGAATCTAAACCGTTCTCGAATCCACTTGAATCCACACAAAAAATTTCATCAAAATCGGCCCACCCGTTTTGGTGGAGTCCAGTCACATACACACGCATAGAAGAATTATAATGTATGAATTCAACAAGTTCCACCAAGTGCCGACAATCGAGAGTAGGTATATAAATTACTCCACAAAAATACCTAATTATTTATTTATTAGGACACATACGGCGGGTACCTACACTATTACAATGTACCTATTTACAAACTTATAAATTTTGTAGCTAAGCATCACGCCACTTACAACCCTATTAAGTTTTTTCCAACATGCAATTAAAAAAGTCGCATAGGTATCTTATGTCATTGTTCAATCTAGATCAAAAGTTGAAGTCATTGAAATACAACGTAACTTGCTTACCTGCAACTCGAGAGTGCAAGTGCTGTCCGCCCTTTCAATCCCTCCTACCAGAAATTGGGGAGGGGGAGGGTTTGGACTCCGGTAACCTCTGAACTTTACTCACTCGGTGAAGCTACGAAAGAATTGCTTAACACCGGTTTTCTATGAAGCCGTGGCGTCACTCCGGTCGAACCTGGCCCGTATTTACCGAATTTCAATAACTGACGTTATTATCTATTTCAATTAAAAAAAAACAACTGGATGAAAAGTTAAGAATTAAGGTTATCTTGGTATGGACATGTCATGCGGAGGGATGATGAAAATGTGGCGAAGAAAGAGTTAAGTATAGGAGCTGAGAGGGACAAGAGAAGAGGAAGACCAAACAAAATGTGGATGGACTGTGTGAGTGAGGATATGGCTAGGAAGGGAGTAAACAGTGCAATGACGAATGATAGAGTAGAATGGAAGAATCATACTTACTGCGACGACCCCAAATAAAATTGTGATAAGGGTAGGGAGATGATTTAAAAAAGCAATAGATGTTTTAAATCTTATAATGCATATACCTACTTAATATTAATCGATCGTAGGTACTACAGACCAACACATTTTTAAACAAGGAAATTGGTGCCTTACGTATTTAGTTATCAAGATAAGATACGCGGCCAATAAATTGATATTAAGAATTTTGAAGTAAAAAGCTCGTGTTTATCCAACCCTCCCAAAAGGTACATGTTGTTCTGAGAACACATTAACACAATATGCGTGCATCCTTGTGTGGGATAATTACAGACATACTCTTACACAGGCTACTTTTTGCTAAAACGAGCGCCTCGCACTGTCAGACTTAATAGACCGCACACACATTTACTACACAAGTACCTAAAACTAAATGATACGTTGCTTTATAGCTCCCGCACAAACTACCTATTTCACAACATAAATTAGAGCAAATCTGATTGAATTGGTATCTTAACAGTTTGAGCCGGATTCCTGTTCAACAACGGGTACATACCTAGACATAGCTACCCTTAGCGCTTGTTGAGGTGATCTAATAGAATAGTTACCGTTTATTCCACGACATAAATACTGGGGCATCGAACTGCCCCCGGTCAACGCTCTGGAAGTTATCTCTTCATCCTGCAGCAGGCTGCAGTGGGGGTGCAACAGCCCTCGTCTGCGCGGCTCGTGCCGCGCCCGACTGTTACAGCACTTACACTCAACACTGCACAAAACACCTCGTCTTAGTTGGCCACAAGTACACAGGTGGATTGGACACTCGCGGATGCGAACTTCGACAGTTGCGGTTCAAACTGCGCCCGGTTACTTGGCACAGACACACGTCACACGTAAGCGAGCGGCGCGCGCGCACTGGCCGGACTCGCCCCGCGCCCCGGCCTGCCCCGCACACAACCTGCTCCGAGCTTTTTGCGTTAAAAGCTCCACAGATAAAAGTAAAATGATTGCGCTCCCACGACGCATACATAACCGGCCGCATACTGAGATGCAATTAATAAGCAAAGCTTTGCATTTATCTCTTGATACCCGGAGGCCGAAAAGATTACAGCTCAAGCCCTATTAACTCCATAGTTAATGAGAAGTTCCAAAAAGTGTTTAATGTCACTTAATTCTAAATAGGTAAGATAAACTCGAGAAAGATAGACTTTAGCTTAGCTTGACTAAGTTTGCAGAGCTTTTTGACTTAGCTAGTGGAGGTTAAAGCGCCATCCTCTGCCAGCTAAATGTTATTTTTCTGAAGAAATTTTTAAAGCGGCTTAGTGTCTGGTATACTTCAGTGATCGTTCTCTCTGCTAATAAAGTGGTACTCCCCCCTCGTCTAGCTATTTCCTCAGACAGTTCTTATTTCTTGAAGATACAGGGTATTCCTCAAATGGATCCCTTTTTTTCACAAGGCCGATTCTTCAATAGTTGAAGTAACAACCTGTCTAGGCTATATTAGTTGGGTATCTTTGAAATACACAATAGCGTGCTACCTGGCGTGCACCTGCAACCTGGCATGCTAGGCGACGATGTAAACCCAGGGAGAATCCGTCAATCTGTACAACTAATCTGTAATGAATAAACAGTTTTTCTACTTAAAGGGCGTCCATTAATTACGTGTGGTGCGTTCATTAGGTGGTTGAACCGACCTTACTTATCTGTCCACAAGTGATTTCAAGTTACTTTGTAGTTTCTCCGCTTCCATGTCGGAATATAAGGAAAACTTCTTGACAATGTTAGGTAAAATACCGAAAGGAAGGCGTCTACATAGTTACACACAGTACTTCCCTACCAGAATGCTGAACGCTATGCAGATATAGGTAATTACAACTTGAAGGCATTCCATCTACTTATTTATATCATCCATTACATTTACATTTGTTAATATTATTCAGATCACAGAATTGATTTATTTTGTAAAATGCCTCTAGCATGATAAACGCCTTCCTCTTGTATGATAGAGACCATTCATCACAGGGTTGTGATGGATCACAAACGGACCGTTTAATTAAAACCACTTTCTTATTTATAAATGAATGTTATACTTACGAATACTGACCTTGTAATAATTTGCGGTGGTTATATAGTTGAAGGATCGAGTGCTCACACCGTTTATACCAATTTATTGAACGGTCACACACCTGCGGCATATTGTACCTACCTCCTCCGTACCTAGCCTGAACTACTGTTACTCAGGTTGTAGTTGCTTTTAACACATGTCCTTGTGACGGAGGGGAACGACAAATGAGGACATATTATACAAGTAGAAATTTCAACGTTTGTACACCTTTGAAAGCAAAGTTTAATAGAAATATTTAAATAGAACGGTAGTTACGGCGTAGTGGTTTAAGCGGTCACCTCACCGCTTCCTGCTGCGCTGAGTGTTGTGGGTTCGATCTCCATACTGGACAACACTTTGTGTGATCCACAAATTGTTGTTCTGAGTCTGGGTGTTTTTTGTGTTCGTTTCAAATGTGTTTGTAAAGTATCCCGCTACACAGGATTTTTTCTTAGTGGAGTTGTCTTGAAAAAAATCCTATAAAAAGGGGCAGAGACTGTGAAATATCACATACATGGATAGTGAGGGAGGGATGATTGTTTTTATACAATAATTTAATGTCTAATAAATAAAAACTTACTGCATCCTTAAGGAGACAAGGGAATAAGTGTATTTATAGTGTTGTAACAAATTATTTATGACAAAGCGATAATAAAATTCAATTTAATTAAATGTATCTCTGAATTACACAGGCGCCTCTATTACTCTTACTTATCAGTGACGTCCGAACATTCGAGATGCATCCGACTGATAAGCTACCTCGGATCCCGCGCTGACGCACGATCTAACTCCCTCAAATCAATTATGTGATCCACGAGAGCTGAGAGTGATTAATTATATTAATTCTTTTAGCAAACATCTGTTTTAAGAATTAACATCTGAAGAAACTTCCTTACTTAATCAGAACTATTTCCGCGTATTCCTCAGTAGTTCGGGTCACTCAGATAATTGATAATATACAATTACAGAATCGTGTTAAGTAGGTAAGCCTGCGTATTTGCATAACTGTCATTGGTGTGATACCATGTCATACAGATTTGGTCTGAAGCGAGCATTCTATTCGAGTAACTGGTTAAATAAATCACCCTGCCTACAATTCACTGCAAGAAACTATGAGCTAAAGTCATTACTGGAACCCAGGATGCGTGCAAGTTCGTAAATTCATCCGCAAAATAATGCAATGTATGATAGCAGGGTTCACGTGGTAACCTTTTACCTATACCTATATAATAAGTTGTGTAGACGAAGAATCTTAGTTCACACCTAGAAAAAGTATGTCATCGTAAACAGGTACACGGTGTACCAGTTGATGCCTTTTTTCTAGCAGCCTCTCCAGCACAAGTTAAACATAAGCGACCCAGTTTTCGCGCTATTGCAGTCCCAATCTCCTTCCTCTGTGCGTGACTTAGGGTATCCTAAAGCCTTCCGTCTTCCACCAACCCTAAACAAAATTGAGAAAAAGGGCGTAAAGAGGAAAATGATGAGTGTGCTTAGCGTTTTCTATAGTAATCATTTTGCAAAATATTGTAAAATTAAATTTTTTAGGCCCAATTTTAGTAGCGTGATATTTTCTTAGTCTAAGTTTTTCTTTTTCGTTTTTCTTGTTTCTAAAAATGTGTTATTCCTATTAATTCTAAGTTTTTTGTTGTTGTTGGTAAGTTATTTGAACACTTTGTATCTATTTGCAAATACCTGTGAATAGCTTCGTTGTACCGTAAGGTAAACATTACAATAATGTATATGTTTACCTTACGGTATTATGCTGTTGCTATTACAAACAAAATAAAATAGTGGTCAATCTACTCCTACTTCCTCCTCCTTCATAACAACTTTCTAAGGCAGGATTAGGTTCCGCTTTAGTGGTGGAGCGGCTCAAGTTCAAGTAATATAATCTTCAGTTCTGTCTAGCCTTTTATTCCAAAATACTCCTGTTGACTATCACAGTCAGCTGACTTCATCAGTCATGACAGCATGACAATAGAAACAGTCATGATTGTAGCGATAAGGCTTGACATCTAAAAATACATACCTAACTCATAGCAGCCCACTGACCAGTGATGATAAATTAAATGATGTCACTTCAAAGCACAAAGAGAAGAGTTATTATCGGGTTGCGCACGCGCAAGTCGCGCGGCCGCGACGCTCTAGTAATCAGACGAGCGCTTTGTGTGGCTGTGGCCGGCCCGACCACACCGCCGCCGGTCATCGTGACACGGGTTCACGTGGTCAGGTGTTGGCCGCGCGCCGATATGTCAGTGCTCATCTATTCAATAAGTTATCTGGGTTGGAATGTAGCCAAGTTATCTCATTTAAAGGCTTCCATTCCACATTGCCGTCACATGGAATTAACTTCACTTGTACATTAAAATCGATATAAATATAAGCTAGATCTCATTCAAGGTTAGCCTTGAAGGAAAGCTTATGCAAGCAGCGATCTTAGATTCTAAATTAATAAATTAACTGCTCTTAGGTATCTAAAAGCTCTGCAGCTGAGAAACAACTCTACTCTACTAAGATAACTTCCCTGTCCATGTGTCGTGATCTTCATTTCTAAAAGCTCACATAGAAATTAATTTTAAATACATATTTAAAAAAAATACTTTACATTACTTGCCTGTTGGTCTGTTAGCGATCCTGACTGCTACCGACCCCTGGGGGTGTGGGTTCGATTCACATCCACTTAAACTATCGTGTGAGTATCACGATCATTTGTTCCGCGCCTGGTTGTAATTTGTCTATAGTACCTATGTATGTATTTAGAAATATATAAGCATTTTAATTTACATGTAAACAATTGACAGCAATAAGTGGACCGTCGCTTATTTTATAAGTGGGACTAAAGCTAAAACCAGCAACTTTTTAAGCCACAAACCCTTTTTTTCTTTTTTTTTTACGTGTGGAAATCCCCTCGGACCGTCACCCCGCCGGGGCTCTCGTTCGGCGGGGCGGTGTGTCGGACTCGAACCGACTAAAACCACACGGTGTGAAGCCACAAACCCTATACCAACCCATCTGGCCAGCGCGGTATAGTAGGCCAAAACCTCCTTTCTAAGGAGAGGCTTATGTCCAGCAGTGGACTATTAAAGGCTGTTGATGATGATGATGAAAACTAAAACCGATAAAATACGGGTGTTTAACTCGCCTCCGTCTCCCCTTAGGGAGTAAAAATATGATTGTGTGTATTCTGCGTTGTCCTAGAATCATAAAATGTGGTAAAAAGCAACAAAGAACTTAAATCCAGCCTCGTTAATGTTTTTTTGTTTATATACATCGTAAAACATATTTATAATTGCAAAACGTGCTATAGCCAAAAGCTTTTCAATGTCTAAGTGACACGGAACACGACAAGAACAAGAAAGCGAAGTGTTTGTAGATTTCTATCTCATCGCATAACTCAATCTTACAACTCGATGTCAATATAGAATTTATTCATTCATACGGTGACTCATGGTATTTATTTGTTCCTAGCCCCAGGACCTACCAGTATCCTGCGCGTCCATATAGAGAGGGACTAGAAAAAATTCCCTACTCAGTCTTTAGAAAAAAACAAATGCTGTAAAGCATATCACTTTAATTTATGTTCATGTTCGATATATTGCTCCATTGATTGTACGATTTGTCAGTGGAGCGATGAATTGGCAATGATTCAAGTAATTTTCAAGAAAAATTAAATATTACATTACATATTTTAATGTATAAATTGTGTGTGTATAAGTGTGTGGCTTGTGGGCCGGGTAACCCGATACTGCGGAGAGACGTTGTATTATGTTGTTGCGCTAACGCATACTGACACTGCCTCGGCTCTCAGCCGCCCGCCTTTGTAGAGCTAGGGTTGTCACTTGCAGGTCTATTTGTGAAAGAACTATGTTTCAAAGTAATTAATTAAATAATTAAGAGTACATAAGAATATGTATGTAAGTACAATACATTAAAAATGTAAACTACACCCCAATCAAAAGCCTTCAACTGTTAGAAAAGCGCCAGCGCCGCCCTTCAGTGGTTCTCAGATAATTACTAAGAAC